AAACAGGATCGCTCCCGCCACCCTTGGCCACGGGGGCTGTCCCGCACACCCGGCCCTGCCCACGCCCGTCACCTCTCCCGTTTCGGACAGGTTCGGCCTTGCTAGCGGTGCCGGATCAGGCGGGATGGCTCCCGGATAACCCGCCGCCCAGCTCAGTCACCGCTCTGCGTGGAAAGGCAAAGCCGGCATTTGGATGTGGGCTGGTAGTGGCTCTTGAAGCCTCTCCAACCTGGGAGTTTCCCTTTTCGCCAAGAACATGTGACAGAATCCAGACTGGAAAGCCCACTTTGAACACTACAATTTGGATTTTTTTTTTTAATTATGTATATAGGATGCAGAGGTAACTTATAAAAATAATTTTCCTAATTTTTAGAGCAAGCCAGATTCCTAGCTGCAATGAGATTTCAAAATCGCACATATGAAAGTTTCACAACACATGGGGCAGAAGAACTGAAACCATTTGTGCTTAAAATACACTGCATGTGCACCTCAGCTGCAAAGCACTTACTCAAATAGATTAAAGCATGAATTTAAGGACCCAAGGAGCCCAAAAGCCTAAGTTTGGCGGTTTGTTCTGCCCATGGCTCCTTTCCGCAGCCACGCAGCGAGGGATGACAGACGTGGGCTCCGCAGCCTCATGCCCCCCTCGAGGGCTCCTTTCCCCTCGGGCGCCCGTGGACTATGATCCTGGCCCGGCCCTGCTGTCTCTCCTCGCTGCATTCCCTCTTTTCCAGCAGCCAGACGGCAGCGCGGCTCCGGGACGGCCCCTGGAGCTGCTGCCTGCAGCGAGGTGGCCCCACGCTCCGGCAGCGCTGTGGGAGCGTGGGCGGCTCCGGCAGCTGGAGCGCGGACCGCGATCCCGGCCCCGGCGCCCGCTCAGGCCTGCAGCTGGAAGCAGAAGCCTCCGGCCAGCCCAGGCTCACTCGGCTCTCTTGCCAAGGCCGCGTCCGCCTCGTGCACAAGCCCGTCCCGCTCCTGCTGTTCCCTCCGTGCTGCCCTCCCGGTGCTCTCCCTGAGGCGATATCCTCGCAGCTCTTGTCCTCGTGGCACCCTCTAATTATCCAACGCAGCTAATACCGACACCCCTTCCCGCCGCCCTCCCCGGGGCTGGTCCCGCTGCCCGCGGTTCCGGAGGTGCCGGAGGGCGGCGGGGAGGATGGGCTGCCCCCAAGAGGAAAGAGCCCCCCGAAAGCCAGGGCCGCCGCTGGGACAGCGCCTGCCCACACAGAGGCTTCGTCGTTCTCTTTATTAAAATCTCTCTTTTTAAGAAATGCAAATTGAAACGCTTCGCAATCAGTTACAGTTAACAGTGGTGACAGGTCCTATATAATTAAACAGGTACTACAAATTCCGACTGTTTACAAGCCAAAATTTAAATTAACGAGATGATATAAGCTCAATAAACAGTATATCTGGTCCAGTTCAAGTATAATTCAACAAATCACAGCCTTAATCCTCAGAGAACAGAAAAACCCTGAATATAACCAGCCTAACACTAATTTAGTGTTAAAGCCAATATGAAACTTTGTCAAATCCTATGGGGGCAAGTGTTTATTTTATTTTTACCTCAAAGAAAGTAAATTGCAAATTAAAGATGTTAAAGACTATTTGAGTTCAATACAGATTTTATACAGATGAAAAACATAGTCCCTATTCAAAAAGTGCAATCTTTGGTTGAGATGTGTTGAAATTATTTGTATATATTAAGGAAGCTCTCTTTAAAATATCAATATATTTTTGGCTAGACCTGAGCCTGTATTGTGCTATATATATATATATATATATAAATAAACAGCATGTATTATAGTGATGATGAATAACGCCAACTAGGAAAGGATTTTAGTACAATGAATTGAAAGAAACAACACATTTTTACAGGAGCCGAGGAAGGGAAGTGGCTGCCTGCGGTGCTGTCCTTCCTCAGCAGGACAGGGAGGGGAGAAGGGGAGTCGCACGCCGGCCGGCGCTGCAGGGAGGAGATCTCGGAGATCCCCAAGTGCATCGGGCTGACAACAGACCACAGGCCCTGGGGGGAGTTAGTCCAGGCTTGGGGTGCATTTAATTGCTTTGCGGTGTTGGAAGGGGAGAAAGGAGCTTCTCGGAAGGAGAGCTACCTGTGCGGCCGTACGCAGCACTCTGCAGAGTGCTGTCGTGCCAAGGGAGAGCCCAAGGGAATGGAGAATCCAAATCTCCTCTACAATTGTTTGGACTGGATCTCATGTTGGGGGCTAGACACTGCACCACCCACCTGAGTCCCTCACTTCCAGAAGAGGATTCCCCATGCAGAGAGCTGCTACCTGGAGCTCCTGGCTTCCTCTGGGGCAAGGCAAGGGACTGACAACCCAGACGAGGTATCTGGAGCCTGTTGAACCTGGACAAGGCAACTGACCACAATTCCTGGTGAACCCTGGTCAAGACTCCAGCTTTTGGAGACATGGATGGAGGCAGAAATCGAGGAGAAAACATCATAACTAGGGTCTGCAGGACAGAAAGGCCCACGCTGCAAAGAAAAGATTGTTTTGCCTGTCTTAAGTAACCAGTCAGGGAAAAAAAGGAGGCTAAATATGCAAACTGTGAACAATGGGAGTAAGCCCAGTGTCAGGATTTGAGGAGGAGGGAAGTAGTTTGAGTCATCTCCCTCAAATCCAAAAGCGAGCCCCTCGGCAAACACTCCTTTCCATAATTCTGCTGCTGCCAGTCACAGTGCCGTGGTTACCTTGGCTTCCCCCGCGTGCCTGTAGCCACCTGCTCTCCAAAGGGCTGAGTTAAAGCTCTCTGGCCTGGGAAAGTCTTTGTTGTGGATTTGTGCTGTGCCTCTAATAAGGGCAGTGGACCCGTAGCTTCTACTGCAACACAAATGAATAATAAGAGTGATACTTTTCTCATTTGAGGTTACCTAGGGATAAAGTTGCTGGGGGCAGCGTGCGACTTTGATCCGTGTCTCAGATCCAATTAAGTTTAACCATGTGGTCTAACGAGCTCCCATTAGGCCAGTGAGAGACCTAGTTTCACAGCAGGGTCGGCTTCAAAGACTGGGCGCTTGCATGTGGAGGGATTTCCTTCCCTTGTGCTGGCTCACATGGTGCTGACGGGCACGAAGGGAGCTTCACGTTCACACATGAGCACCTTGAGCTGGGCTTTAAATGACAGTTGCACAAGTTTTACTGCCATTTTCGTAATCTTGTACCTTGCAATACAAGCTCTGGCTTTGCGCTCAAATTTCACTGCAATGTGAAAAACAAACTGTCAAAGAAAAAACAGTCCTTGAAGGAAAAATAACTTGTTTTGAAATATTTTTTTGCACAGGGAAAACCAAAAATAGCTGTGCAAAATGACAGATGGGCCCAAATTTTAACACTTTTCAAGTCTGGACAAAGGAGGGTCTATGCTGTGATGTTTTGCATTTCTCCTTTTCTTTCAAGCAGGCTGTGTCCGACTTCAGGATGCAAAGAATCCCTGAACTTGTGAGAAATACCAATCCCAGCTATGAAATCTGAACCCACCTCTGGTAAAAATGAACGGAAAACACAGGGCAGGAATTGGAACACAGCCTAACACAACAACACCAGGCACCCAGGGGAGACACTGCCCGGCTAGGAGGTATTTCAGAAAACGAGTAAGGCCGCTGGCACAGGTAATAATGAACCAAATACTTTGGTGTAGGCAATTTTGGCAATTTAGTCACTGTGCAATGCTTTTTGACACCCGTGTCATTCTTAGGGGGTGGCTAGAATCTCCTGGAAAACTATTTCCTCCACACAGCATCAAACAAGACATCGAACAGCAGCAATTTGTGCAGAACATGTTGGGGGGAATATCAGTCAGGCAAAGAATAGCAGAACGTCTGCAAATCCCCGTCCGCCCGGACCACACGGGGCATTTTACAGAAGCCTAACGCCAGGATCAGCTCGGGCAGGGCTTTGCCTGCACAGTCACTTTACCACACAAAGCCCTATTGACGTGAACCAGAAACTTGTACAGTGAATTTCAAAGGGACTTTGCAAAATACAGAACAACAACCGTGCAGAAACAATAGCTCGTAATAATTCCAGAGCTGCTGCTGCATCCTGTGTTCTCAGTGCAGTGCTCTGCAAGGCATCAGTTGTATTCGCCTAAAAAATTCAGGGAAGTTGAATACAAAAACAACACTACAAGTCTGGCATCTTTCCCTTTGGACCAGGAAAATTCAAGGTTGCCAAACTGAGCAAAAGCAAAATTGAAGGAAAAAAGAAGAAAAGAGACCCCAAAAGCAAGTCTCCTGACTAAATATGTTTTACATGTAACATGGTCCAAGCCTGTGGCACTTTAAAAGCCCCTTGTGGGAGCTGTCAGTCTGCAACAGTCGCAGTTAGCACCCTCTGGACGATCAAACACAGTTCTAAAGACAAGGACAAAGGGAGGGCAGTCAATGACACCAGGGAGAACTGCTGTGGTTCCCTCAGCACTCGTGTGACACGAAGTGCAGCCAGTGCCCAGTGACAGACATGCACCAATTCTCCAGGCTCTAACACACGTGAAGATGGATGCTGATGGGGTTTATATTCTGCCATCTACTGATTAGGCTCGGCAGAGTGATTTGAGATGTCTTAGGCAAATCCTACTTCTCCACTGGGTAATGAGTGGCTGCAATATTTTAAGCAACATTAAAGGCTATTTATAGTCACATTTCCTCTCCTTCCAGCATCCACTGGAGGATGCTAAGTCCTTCAAAGTATTCTGCCTGATCTGATGTGTCACATCAGAATTAAAACTTTTAAGAATCCCTGAGAATTCTGATTTAATCTAGGAAACCACTCCCAGCTTGCAGGGTGAGAGATGATTGCCCCGCTCGTTACAGATATGCCAGCACTGCTTCACCGTGGGAAACTGTTTCAGGCATTTGGGGGTTCAATGGCACTCTGGGCATAGATGCATGGAACATGCTCTTTATTTCCCCTCCTCTGTACAGTGCAAATTGACAGTTATCTCATAGAAATAAAATAAAATTAGAAAAAAAGACAAGTATCAGCATTCACGCATTATGGCTCTTGCAGTTCATCCACATCATAGCTTTTTCTTCTCAAAGTGAGGAACAATCCCAGCGTCATCCTGGTGCCGACTGCTGCCTTCTTCGTTCATTTTCAGGCTCTCTTCTGCAAGCTGGGAGAGGTACTTCTGCAATCAGACCAAAAAAGAGATCAAAATCAGACCAAAAACAAAGCTTCTGCACCAATGCTGGAGGAACCTGGCCCAGGGTGCACGCACCACTTCAGAGCTCTCACTCCTCCTCAGCAACTCACAGGGCAAGAAAACACATGGAACACACTTCCACCTTTTCATTTGGGTGGAAATTCAAGCCAGGTAATATAGCCGTGTCGGGCCATCTACCTGAGTACCCTGAGAGCCTGGGAAGCTCTGTGCCGTAAGGGGAGCTGATGACAGGACCAGGAGGAACACGGTTCCCATCAGTGTGTGTAGCCAGGCCTCACCTTTTTCTCATGTCAAACAGGAACTGACTGCTTACTACCCCCACACGCTATAGGGCAAGGACTAACACCATTACATAAAGTGAATTTTGTTCACATAAAACTGTATGGCAGAGTAGGTGGAGTTTCTGAGTCGTATATTAAAGCACATACCCTACACTTTAGACATACATCATGTGCATGAGAGCAATGTAAGGGAAGAATTAAACTCAGCAATAACTAACACAGTTTAGCAGCCTGGCTTGAGTATTTGCATATATTCTGTTGTTTAAGATAAAGCATTTCAGAGCTCTAAGTACCCGGTGTGATTTGAAAATACAGGAGTTTAGTTGCAGGATTCCCCGGGCATTGACTCCTTGGCATCCACAGGCAAATGGGAAACGGGTATAAAGGAAGAAGAGCCTTTCTTGGTGTGCTCAAACAGGTTGTCTCAGGTAAATACAAGTCTCAGAAGTAAGAGGAGCATTGAAAGGTACTCAGTAAAGGCACAAGGGAGGCCACCTGTGACAAAATGACTACGCCCCTGGTACTCTGAATACAGGGATTTGGCTATGGAAATTATACAGCCCTTGCTCTTGACCCTAGAGTACAAAATTCCAGGTGGCCGAGGGCCAGAGTAAATGTTGTTACTGCAGAACAGCGAGATGCAAGAACTGCAGAGGTTGGGAGGGGTGTTCTGTGCTCCAGGGACTGCAATCAGCCACCAGCGCTTGTCACCGGATCAGATAACTCCCACTTTCTGCTTTTTAATGATTATCCACCAGAGCAAGACGGAGCTTTTCAAAGATAACAAGGTTTAGCCACCAGTTTTCATGGACCTTAATGTCAGCCATCATGAGTAACACATGCACCAGTTTAGTAGTTCACAAACCAGAAATTCAGATTACAGCAAAATGGCAGTAAAGGAAGAAATATTTTTCTTTTAAATACAAGTTTTTGATGAATACTACATAAAACCAGAGGAAAGCAAGAAAGTGCTGCACTGACTAGCCCAAGGGTAGCTTACACTAGACAAATCTGAAAGCTTTTTGTAGCAGTGGTAGGAGAGATGGCCAAATGGAGGGTGTCTTTTTGGACACTGAAAGTGCAGTGAATAAAATACCACCTGGGAAATTACTTGTTATGCAGATGAGAATGACAAATTGCAAAAAGTCTACTACATTGGTGAAGTTTTTTTTTTTTTTTTAATTTGTTTGTTTCACCCAGTGATTGTTGTTCTTCAGGAAGACCATACACAGATGGAGTTGACTGTTCTACATCAATACAAAATCATCACCTTTATGGAAGTGAGGTCTTTGGAAGAAATCTGGTAAATAAGCTGTTCAGTTTGTGTAAAATTGCAAACACTTATATTTTGGATGTGGTTCTAAGGAGCCCGTGTGAAGGGTAGCATCAAACATGAATACTCATAGCAATGAGAGCTCTTGGGACAATATTATTGTCACTGGACAATTACATTTGTCATGTAAATATGACAACATGAAGCCAAGTCGAAGCAGTAGTCCCAGATTAGGATAGGGTGAAAATTAGATTAGTTCTTAAATTGTGGGTATACTAAGACTGAAGTTTCATGAAGAGTGCATAAATGAGCAATATTATAACAAAAAGGTTCTTGAAATGAAGAAAAATTATGCAAAGTTTGCTGTGTTTCCACTTGAATGGACAGAAGTCGGATGGTTGTTTACCTGCCATTTAACTTCCTCAATTTAGTAAGAAAAGCGCCACAGAACAGTGTCTCATTACCACATTTGACACATTTGATTTTAACTGGTGTTGCAGTCTTTGTGCTTTTATCTCAGGTCAGTTTTAGTACCGCAGTACTCATGCGAAAAAGCTTAGAGAATTTTTTTTCTCTTATGTTGACTTTAATTCTTTTTTCCCCATGATTTGAACAAAATAACTTAGAAAATAAATAAATAAATGAATAAATGCCTCTTCTACAGTGCCAATTGCCAGAGCTGGGAGCAGACTGGCGAGCTAAGTGCCTACGTCCCTAAGTGCCATAAGCTTCTTTGGGACAGAGCCACATGGGACACACGGCCTGCACCAAGCAGCGCTACCTTTACTGAATCCCTCGGGAGTTTCTTGCACGAAGCCCCCAAAGGACACACAAACCAGGCCCTGCTCTGCAGGCTTCTGCCTGAAAGAGCCATTACCAGCAAGCAGCAGCTCTGCAGGCAAAATCTTCAAAAGCCAGAGGCCTTTATAGGACTAGAGGTAAGTAACTTCGGAAAGTCGAGAGGAAAATTCTCCCAGAGAAATTACTTGACTTTCTGTCACTTAAAGAAAACTATTCATAGAAGAATTAATAGGTGCCAGTCAGCCAGGGAAGGACGGCTGCTGCTTGAAGAGAAGGAGAGCTCCAGTGTTTAGGATGGGCAGAGGGAAGGAGCAGGAAAGAAGGGGCAGCCTTGTTCTTTTAGGCCTCCTCTGCATTGCCAGCAGTGTGACACCCCTGCATGGGCTGGACCCGAGGAGATGAGGGGAGAGGAGATGAGTTCTCCACTGTGGGCAGTTAATGCTCGTGCTGTCATGAGCAGCAATGACTGATGCTCTCAGGGTGCATCTGGAAAAACTCCCAACCAAACCAACGTCTGGAACGCTCGGGAACAGAGAGTCAAACGGTCCGAGCTGCACCCCATGCTGCTGACAAGCACCACATATAAATAAAACGATAAAATGATTTCCTGGACCCATTTTATTTATGATCCGTAAGTTGATTTCAAGGGCCAAGGAATGAGAGACTAGTGTGTCAACATTCACAACTACTGCACTGTCTTCCTTCTGTATACTTCTTCTGAATTCTGCCCACACCATAAGAAGAATTTTTTTACAGCACTGTGGAACTTGAACACGTTCCACCCCACCAGCTAATTGCCAGCTCGTTTCAAGGCTGTTTTTACCTGAAGGTTTTTGTAGTGAACAGTACTTCTGCAGTGACTCGTCTTCGCCGTCTCTTCATTCGTGTAGAAGAGTCCACAGAGCTTACAGTAAAACCCCGTTCTGGGCACCACAAATTCCACACCTACACGGAGATTTTGAGTCATGTTAGGGTGTCGGCTGAAACCCTTCCCCCCAACAATAAACTTGCTTTTAAAGAAAAAAGATGCTATTTAGTTAAGTCCCATAGATTTGAAGACTGTGAATGCTGCATTCTCTTTGATTTACTTGATTTTGCAATACTGACCCACGGTTTCAAATCACACGCACTGCAAATACACCTTGCACCTCTCCTCTCGTGGATATAATACAGATTTTAAATTGTACCTTCTCTCACATAATATTTGACTGGAGACCTCCCTGTGCAACTTGGGCTGGCATAGCCATAGTACTTGTTAGCAGCAAATTCCTGCTTAAGTTAGGCAAGTCATCCTCAAGGGTGCAGTTCTCCTAGGTTTTTCACTCACGATTGGTGTTCACACAGTACAACCAATACTTTTGGTTATACTAAAAAGTATAACCAACACTTCTACAACAAAGACTTTTAAATTACTAAGTATTGTTTATACCATATGTCTTAAACTCCGTCATTTCTGAAGAATTTACAGGATGATCCTCCTTCTCCCAACAATCCTTGGCAGGGACCAAAGCTTCAATGAAAGTGTCCCTGTGGGTTGTGCCTGCCCTGCAGTCTTGAGCAGCCAAAGCAATGGGGGCTAAATCAGCTCCGACAGGCTGAATTATCCTGCTCCTTGTCATTGTGGATATTCCCCGCATCCGGCCCAGATCAGAGACAAAATGCAGCCCAAGGGCAAAGCATTTTGTCTCATTCCTGATGCTAATGCTACGTTACGGCATTTTTTTCTGAAATGAAATTAAAAACAATCTAGGACTGAAAGGCTGGTTCCTTCATCCCCCTCTCTTGAACGCACTGCCCCTCATCCTCCTCACACTGGAGCTGGGCAGGAAGCAGAGCAAGCAGCCTTAAGGTGACATCTTGTTGTAACTGTGGGTATTGCAGCGGGCAGCTCGCCCCATACCCAGGGGAATGCTGAGCTCCGTGAACACGTCCTCTTGTTCCCAGCCTGGCGGAGAATGGCTTTGCTTGGCCTCTGTCTCCGGGTATTCAAGAGATCTCACTTCCAGGTACCTAGAATTTGCTTAACAAATGAATAAATGTATTGAATGAAAACAGTTTATTAGTTTAAAGAGACATTCGTAACCTTCTTGAAATTATCTTCTGGGTGGAGCCATAAATTAAGTAAAATTTGGAAAAAAATGCTTTTCTACTCAAGAATGCTTTTTCTACCTCGGGTGCTGCGCAGAGCAGAGCCTCCTCCAGCAGGACCCCGGCCACGGAGCGCCCTGCTCCCACCCCAGCTCCCACGGGAGGGCTCTGCTCTGCAGCCCGCAGGGACCGGGTGTTGCTGACCCGACCTGAGAGGCACACGTGGGACCCCTGTGATGGAAAACAGGGACTCGGCTGCTGAGGAGCAGGAATTCAGTCAGAATGACAGACTTTCTGCCTTCTCTATAGCAGAACTGCTTTTATTAAAAAGTCACCATCACTGAGCAACAAAATTACAAATAAACTGGTCTGATTCTCGTTCTTCAGTTCTTACATCAAAGAACCGGTTTCCTTACCCTGACAAAATTCCTCTTGCATTGCAAATTTCACCTAGATGAGGGATATGTTTTCTCATAAAACAAATATATTTTTGCCCCAACCAAACCCTTCTTGCCTTTCAAGCCTGTAGTTCACAGATTTGCAACTTCTGGCTATGAGAATTAAAGTATCTTCATTGTTTTAAGTACATCTAGTACACGATTTAAAAGAAAATAACATAAAACCCTGTCCGATTGGTTTTCAAGCTAATTTTAAACCAAGTGCAGGTTTCCAGCTTTGCAGAACAGATCCTAGAAAACCTGTGAGCGCCAGCTGGGTGTTTGCAAGACACCCAGGGCCTTGGTTGCAACTCAAGCCCTGCCCAGGGTGATTTCTAGGGCTCCTGAGCTGGCAGCTGCCTTAGCAGAGAGCCTGGAGCCCAAAGACCCTGCCTTGCACTCAGGATCCTAGATGTCAAGCCCAGGCAGAAGCCTGGGAAGCACAAGCTTCCCTGGAGTTTCCAGGTTCCCTGCCAGGAAGCTGGAAGTTTAGATGCCAAAAACGCCCAAGTTCCTGTCTCTTGGGACACTGAGTGGCACTCGGCTGACTGGAGCGGCAGCCAGGAGGGGCAGCCGGACACCCTGCGGTGCCCAGTCCCGGGCACCCGGCTGGGCAGCGCTCCCCGCACACGCACCGGCTCGGCCGCCGCTCCTGCAGGCGGGTTTGGAAAGCCAAGGGGGTGCCAAACCTGTCCATAGGAAGACGTTCGTTCAAAGGGGGACATTTACATAAAATGTTTCCACATTTTCTGACGGAAAGTGGCACTCTCAGGAAATTTCCAGCAACTTATATTCACATTTTTTTTTTTCTCTGTCACAGAGACTACAGTAAAAAAGAGCATTCCTGGTCAACATGGTACATGCTGTTTTCCACCTCCTGAGAGTATCCCCAGTCCACTCACTTGCATTTTATTTGAAGGAGTGACAGGGAGCTGAAGTGTATTTTAGACACACTAGACTTCTGGCAGTAAAAATACTAACAGGCAGCAGTGATTACAGTTATTTGCACTATCTAACAGCACGTCTTATCAGTTATATTAAAGGCAGCATGCAGAAGATAATAGAAGATGATAGGGTAAGTCCTGAAGGAAAAAAAAAAGCATGTGTTTGTGTGAAGAGGGACCCAGAAGCAACAATCTGCACATGATTTCCCTGGTATTAACACTTCTGCACCGTGTGTAAGAGCACACAGCCAGCCAGACATGAGAGGCACCTCCGTGCTGACCTTCAGGGACTGTCACTCATTTCATTGACAATTCAAAATAAATTTAGCAGGGCACTGAAAGACTTCAGCTAAACTCATGTGAACCTTGATTGGACAATTATAGCATCTTATGCCTCGCAGAAAGCTTGCAAGCTGCTTATCATATTTCCTTTACACTATTCAGCTAAAAGCCTCTAATGATTTAGCTTGGCGAGAGGCAGTGGGGTTCTTTTACGGAGCTGCTCCAAGGGCAGGTCTTGATTCTATTAGCAACATTTATTCTGGTTAGCAATAAATTTCAATCTACTGTCAAAGAAAACACGCATGGCTCTCTCTGCAAGCTGAAAATAAATTAAAAAAAAAAAGGTAGTTACCCTTGGCCTCTGAACACTCCTGGCCTCCACGTCTTGTCTCTTCCCCGGCATTTTTAACAAGCATTTCCATGACTTCTCTACTCTCAGTTCCTTGTGATCCCATCTGTTTGTAATCATCTATAAATGTGTCAGGGAGCTGGAGAGGCTCTTCTTTCAGCTGAACAGAAGGTATATGGCGATCCTCAGGCTCTGAATGAATGTCACAGCTTTTGTCATTTTTTCCTTCCTTCTGCTGGTGATCAGACTCCTTAGCAGCTTGGTCGTCTTCTGCTTCCTCCGGCTTCTGCTCAGGGTCCAGATTTAGGCTCGATGCTTCAGTAACTGCATCATGGTTCTCATCACCCCGAGAGCCACCAGAAGCGGCCGTGCTGCCCTTTGCCGACCTGGAGTTTGGTTCTAGAGCTTTATGGGCAAATTTGTCTTCACTCCTGGTTAGGTGGCTATGATCGTTTTTCAGTTCTAACATGGTTGACATACAGGGGCACATTTCTGAGACGGCTTTGTTTTTCTGATCAACGGGTACTATTTCTTCAAGCTCAGTTATATCGGGCTCCATAATTAGATCGTCCTCTCCCACTTCATCCACTGTCACTAATTCCTCCATGTTAGCAGGATACCAGGTCTCACCTTCTATCTCACTTCCACTCTCCCAGTCTTTTTCCTGTCACAGAGATGTAAGAAATTGGAGAAATCACTGATTACAGACTGCAACTGTTCAATGTGGGCTTGGAACATCAGTAACGAGGGAAACTTTTGACCTGGTTATACCTAATCCTCTTCTATTCTAGCCCCAAAGAACAACACGCCTTGGTGCTATGACTTTAAACCTTTCAAAAACAAGCAATCTTTTAAAAATAATCATTTACTCTTCACTTCAGGGAGATCCTATAACTGCCTGGGGCAATCACGTCTCTCCATCTCCCTCTTCCTGCAAGCAGCAGAACAAGGCACAACCTGCCACACGAGTCATACTCAGCTGTGTGACCCCGAGGAAATTATTCTCTCCCCTTGCTCTACCTCCACTCAAAGGTGACCAGAAGTAGGTACCACAGAGAGAGGACACTGAACCCCACTCTAGCCATTGCAGCTTTTACTTTGCTGGATTGGGTCCTTTAATTTCCTACAGTGACTGAGAAAACGTGGCTACCTCCTGTAGCCATTTCCTTCCACCAGCAAGAGCCCTCTGCCAGGGACTATGTTGGTAGAGGTTGGCCTAGACCTTGAGAAAAACCAGTTTCACTGTTATACTCAAAAGTTTATAGGCCAAGATACCTCATGCATGCAGTTATAGACTTAGGATTCTCAGATACTACTATTGGATTTCAGAAGAATTAGAATGATAAGGTATATATGTCTTTCAATACAGACTTGGTGCAGCTTAGATTTCAACTCCCAGAATCATCATGTGCACATAACCTATTAATAATCTGTATTCTCTCTCTGTGTGGTCATTCCCACACTTCCCCTCCTAGAATCCTAAAACAGCACGAAAACTCTGGGAGTCGACACCGTTCTTGCCAGGAGATCAGTTTTCTACGGCAACAGATATCAATAGCTCCCATATCTGACCATCAACCCATGACCCTGGAGATATGAAGCTGGAGGAATTCCAAGGACATTGCTGTGCCCTACTGCGATGCTGCAGCAGGGGTACTATAAAGACATCCTCTAATTAAAAACAGAAACAATCAAAAGAGGCTACTACCTATAATCTACTTCGGGCCAATAATCTAAGGAGTTTTCGTTGTTAATCTCCTCTTTTTCTGCTAAGTGCCCACGTCTCCTGCTTTGGGGCACAGTTTGCAAAGTTACATGGTTCATCTGGGCACATGTTACTTGCAGTTGCCAGTGCCAAGGGCTATGCATGTGAAGCAATGTACATGGGCAAAGAGCAACTAAAAAAAGAGCTCTGGGGAGTTCAGAAAAAGCTGCTCCTTAAAGCAGAGGTCAAGATAAGGCAAGCTAATTTAGACAACACTCTTCTGCAAACTGTCTACATGACTTGCATTACGGGTTTAATATTTCAGTTAAGAAAAAGTGCTACCAAATCTGGGTTTTCACTCATTTTATTGTCAAAGGTAAAACAACAATGTGCAACTAACCTTCTCTTTTCTCGTGCTTTCCAGAATTTCTCCAGATTCTTTTCCTGGCTTATTAGCTGAAGGCGAGCTCTTCTCTGGAACTTGCTCCTTTTTTCCGAGCTAAAATAAATACAACATACACACGGATAGCAACACACAGTGGTGCTCTATTATGTTTCTATTCTGGGGCTGCGGAAGCAAAGTCGCTCACAAGGTCACAATCTTTATTGCTAAGGTTTATGCAAGTCAACCAGGCTGTGGGAAAAGACCCAAGAATGGGATTCCATTAGAAAAGCAGCACAAATAAGAATTAAGAAAAAGAAATTGAAACAAAATTAGAGAGATGTACTTTATATCATAGAATTAGTTGGTAGACAGGTGGGAAAGAACGTGATTTTATTAAAATTTCCAGCCTCCTCTTTTCTGTTCTCTGTTCACATCTGGGATGTTGGCTCTGGCATGGTTAGGAGAGCAGCGCTGCTAGAACTGTGCAAATGACCCCAACTCTTTGGTTTGTTAATGCTGGATCAATCAAGAATGCAACTGCTTGCAGAGCTGGTACTTTGGAGGAACAAACTCGCAGTTTACCTAGTATGTGGTAAAAGAGGGACGGAGCAAAAGCGTGAGTTCAAGAGCAGTCAGCTCTACTATTCCGTATTAAATTGTCAGCAGTCGTGCCCTGAGAGGTGTGCCTTTAGCAACGCCCATTCCAAACGTCTGGGAAAACACACAGCGGAGTGCGCGACCCTGGAGATTCGGGAAGCTTGATCTGACATTTCCGTACCCTAGAGGGTCCCTTGGGAGGGAGAAATACCCTCACAAGGAAGCATCCAGCACAGTGAAATAGCAGCCAAAAGAGAAGGCTGACAAAGGTGGTGCAGACACACATCGACAGCATGAGACTGGCACTGCTGGCCGTGACAGGCACCGAGTTACACGGTCTAGAGCTTTCTACCAAGCTCTCCCCTGCACAGGAAGAAAGAACGCATGGTCACCTTGCGGCAACCAACAAGGGCCACCCGGCCTCCCCCCGACCCCCCGGGGGATACTCGAGCCTGCAGGCAGCTCCACGGCCTCGAGTATCCCCCGGGGGGCCAATAAGCCAGTAACTAGATCCAAGCAAAGCAGAGACACGAGCAGGGGCTGTGCTGGCCCTCACCTCACCACTGCTCCTCAGAGAAAATCTGGGATGTGACACACACTGTGACGTCACCAACTGGGTGCTTTATCCCAGGCATCTCCTAAGTTTATGGCTAAGGCAATTCAATGCTTCTGCCAAGAGTCTCTTCCACCACTCCCTTCGCTGTGTTGTTGGGGGTAGGGACATACAATTACCAGGTACCAGGTGCCCTGCTGAGCTGACTGAAATAAAGTGTGTCATGTTGGATTTAAAAGTTCATTCCCCATTTTGGCAGTGTAACAACCAATTCCCTGCGTTTTCTTACAAATATTTCCTATCCCCGTAAAGTTTCACGGGGTTTGGAAGAGTTCCAAACACACAGGTTTGGAAGAGTGCTGTGGGCCAGCTTGTCCCTACATAGACAACCTGCACAAAAGCAATAGCTTTTCATCTGTTTTTTTTTTGTTCTCCGTTTTCACTTTCTTACTGGTTACCTGGAGGCTCTGTGCATAGAATGTTAAGGTATCATCCGGGTGCCCAATATGGGAATGCCCTAAGAGATGTGCACAGATGAACATGAAGAGGTGGACGAGCTGCCCTCCCACGGTCTCTTTCAGGAATATATTCCCTGATTACGTAATGGTAAAAGACTGCACATCCCCATCACCGTGCCAGTAACAACCAGTCTGAAATACTTCAGAAAACACATTATTTCAGCATTTACCTTCTTCGTACGTATTTTGGGATCTCTATTTACCTCGTTCTCGGAAGGTCTGGCTTCCTTGGCATCGCTGCCTTCAGCAGCAGCCCCCTCCTCTTGGTCTCTGTCAGCCCTCTTGGCTTTGCTCCTCTCGGGGAGTTTCTGCCGGGAGCCCTCGGGGGCCCTGCCGTGCCGCGGCTCGGCCGCCTCCTCCCTCGGCCCGTCCTCGCCGTGTGAGTGTCTCCGCTCCCTCGACTTTGTCTCTTCCTTTCTCTTCGACCTCCCTGGCAACTCCTGCTGCTGCCTCGGGAACTTGTCGGATTTTGTCTTGGAGGTTTTCCTGTAATAGTCATCTTCCCTGCTCTTGTAGCCAGACAGAGGATGCAGGGAGCCAGGGGAACCACTCCGTAGGTATTTCTCTCTGTGGCCCCTGCCTCCTTCAAGCCGTTCATCCAAATCAAACTTGTCCAGCTGTCGGGAATAATGTTTCCTCTCATGTACCCACATGTCAGTCCTGTCCCTCTTCTCGTCCCCGTTCTCTCGCCAGTCCCTGCTGTCTCTTTCCTCTTCCCTTCTCGAATACGGGGACTGCTCCCAGGACTCCCTGCCGTTGCCCCAGTCCGTCCTGCTGGTTCCCAGCGGGCTGTGGGGGGAGCTGCAGGAGGTGAAGCTGGGAGTGCGGGACCTGGGCGAGAGCGAGCGGCTGATGGGGCTGCGAGAGCGGGGCCGCTCTGCGCCGTACCTGCTGCAGAGGGAGAAGGCAGCTGTGACTGACCCGCGCGAGCCACGCCGAGCCCTTGGGAGGACACTGAGCCCTTGGGTTTTGGGAGGGACCACCCTGGGAACCGTGCGTGTGCCTGCGTGCTTGGGGCCACCAAGAAAAACCCCATCAACAGCCCAGGCCCCTCGGGTGCCAGCCCCACAGAGCGAGCCCAGGAAAGGTGGTGCCACATGCAGGTCCAGAGCCCAGCCACCTCCCCATGGGGCTCCCCCAAGGACACAGCCAGTCAGATCAAAAACCTCTCATAGAGGTTTAGCATTAAAAGCTTATTATATGTGCGTAGCTTTAGAAAGAGAACCTGCTCAATCACCTAGAGCATCGCCAAGGCAAACGCGACACAGGTCACCTACTTAAAAAGAGGCATTTTAAGATGGTGATTTCTCTCCATTCCTGGTAGAAGGTGCAGAAACTGCTATTGAAAGCCAGTCTGATCAAAATCACACCCCAATTTAACCTTTAACCTGAACTGGTTCCATCTCTCTAGGTCTTCCAGAACCCCAGCCTTTACACTTCTCATTTGAGGGGAAAGAAGGGAGAATAACTTGATTTATGTGCTCTTCAAATATCAAGAAATTTTTGTGATCAATAATTATCAGTAGCAATAACTGTCAAAGAGTAGTGAGTAAAATATTTAATTTGTTTTCATATCATGCACAGTTTCAATCTGATCGTATTATGTAGGTACCACATCTACTATTCTCCCCACTTGTATCATTTCAGTGATTGGAAATGAAATCCAAAACAAGAAAGAGAATGAGATGGAAAGGGAAGTAAACAAACAAGTTATTTTACTTGCAGGCTTACAGACTTCTATGAGGCCCAGACCCAAACTATGCAGGAACCTTCTGCATTGCCCAGACCTGCAGCCCCATATCCAGAGAGCTGGGAGTCCCTGACCAAGCCAGGAGGAGAAGCTGCCCCTGCAGTTACCTGTCTGCCTCCCGGAGCAGGTCCCTCTCCCTCTGCGAGTGGATGTCCTGGATGATGGCAGCCACGTTCTTACCTGGTTTCTAAGCAAGACAAAGGCACTGTTTAGCATGCTGCACTACTCTCCAAGCTATTTTAGGTGATGCATCCTGTAAGAAACAGCATTCATGCATCATTTTGTTATACTACTCAGGAGAACTATTTGGATTTGGTGTTCTTGTTACAGTCTTTTCTACAAGTGGTATCTCAGTAAAATAATCAAAGCAGTAAAATGGTACAAAATGGAAAAAATCCTCTCTTACACTGCAGCACTGTCTCCATATACTTCTGTAATAGAAGAAAGTTGTCTACAAGATGCTGTGAAAACTAGTTTGCACATCTCTGTTAGGCGCTCGCTATAGTATGTCACAGTATGCAAGAGTAAATGAACAGACCATTATTCTAATACCTGAATAAAATAATAAAATAGACGTATTAGCCTCCTTCTCTGCCCCTAGGAATGAACTTCATCTCATTTCAGGGTTTAGCTCATTCTGGAGTATGGCACTAAAATAGTATGTTTAAACATAGAAGCTTCAGAAAAACTAGGTGCAGGAAAGATGTGTACAGGAAACACTGATTACTCGAGACTGAAGAACATTTAGAAAAGCAGCACTCCTCCAGAGCAGAGTGCATGCAATTCATTGAGCACTTGGAGTGCACGCAGCGGAGCAACATAACCATGCAAGAGCTCAGAGCAGTCTGCAGCAGTAAATAGCTCATGCATGCTCCCTCTTTCATGTTTTTGTCATAAAAAGAAAGAAAAAAGGAAAAAAATAAACCTTTTGCTAATGCAAAGAAAATAATACCATGACCTGAAAAACTGCCATTAGAACTGCTAAAAATCTCCCTGGAGTCTAGCTGAACTCTTGCACTCAGCTGGGCAGTTCCTGATCAGCCTCTACACTAACATGTACAGACTCCACTGCCCTACATCTTGATGCCTTAAAATGCCAAAGCAAGAAAGAATGCCCCAGTTTACAGACTTCTGGTGACTCTGCTAACTGTCCTTAACCTCTTATATGCATATAAGAGAGACAGAGATTTTCTTCCAAAGGTGAAGGCAGATTTTTCCGAGTTATTTATTTTTCCTCAAGGCTCTTGGAAGGGCTCTTAATCTCTTAATCTGGAACATTACAGGTTTATTTTATACAATAACCCTATGTTGTGTTGGTCCTTTCAGTTCTAAACCACCAGTTCCAGACCAGGTCTTCATGAGAAACATTATTCCCATAGCATCATATATGAGAACCAAAATTCCCATAAATATGGTCTCAAGAGCACAGATTTCCAGAGTTCACTCAGGTGTTCACACCATGTGCCATACAGAACATCCAAAGACCAAATATTTCCCTGTTCTGAATCTGTAAAAATCTTGCTTTTTGGGTAGCTCAGTTACTTCTTGTTTTTCCCGTGACTTAGCAAAAAAAAAAAACCCAAATAATTGGTGTGAAGGCTGTCACCTCTGCCAGGCATGCGGAGTGTATTAACAGCTCAGCATGCAAGCAGGGGAAAATACTGCATCAAGTTTGATGTCTGTCTGAAAGGATGGGACCCTCTTATTCTTTCTTACCTAAGGTACTTAGCACTTTGCTGTTTTAGACCTTTGCTAGCCAAGCAGTTTGGGCAGCCTGCTCAGGCTTGGAAGAGAGAACCACAAAAAATAGGATCTCTTCAAATAGTTAACATTTAAAACAACAGCAAGCAGCTAAGTACATAAGATCATAAGCATATATTGATTAATTTATCTTTCTTGATTTCTTCTTCCAAAATATTAAAGTATTAATTAGAAGTCAGTGTTCAGCAAAGATTTTTAGATGTGTTCTTATGGACATGCCATGGTAATTCAGGAATCCAATCTTACCTTCAGCTGCAACTCCTTGTATCTTTTGGACATCCTAATAAGCAATTTGTCATCATTTATCATAGCAGGTTTTTCTTTGTAGTATTGCACCATAGCTTGTGCTGCTTCACTGTAAGCCATCTCCAGAAAGGCCTAGCACAAAAAGAGAGAGTTTTTAAATCTACTACTTATTGAAAACACAGAATATAAGAGATAAAAGGTAGCTCAACAGTTTTCATTTGGATTCTCCTTATGTAAAATCTGCTGGTAGGACAGAACTGGGGAGCTTTTCAGTCCTTGAACTAAAATAATAACACACAATCCACCACTCATCTTCCTTTTAACCAAAATTACTGGTTTCAGCCCAGCTGTGAAAGCTGATAGGCAATGTAAAAGCACAGGCTGAAGAAGCCAAAGCCAGTTCAGTTAAAATCTAAACGACTGGAAAACAGTCTTTGTGGATGAAAACATCACCAGGGGCCATGCTGCAGCACACACTGTTCCTGAGGCTGCATCTTGCAGAACCACCAAGTATCCAGGGAAAAGTAGAACAAGAGAAGCCAGGGCAACAAAAGCCAAGAAGAACGGCAAGTCTGAATGCTGTTAACCAGCACTTTTGTAACAGGAAAACTGTGTATGATGCAACTTGGGTTTAGCTGACCAACGAGAACTCACAGCTGTGTATTGATTGTGTTTGGAAACATTCTGGGATCTCACACGTTTCCCACTGGAGTGAATTCCACATCCATCTGTTCTGCCTGCTGCGAGTATCTGAGAGAAGATTTTCCAGCTGCCACTGCAAGACTTAACCTCCTGGGATCTAAAATTCTCTTCAAAAGAGAGCTCTACCACAGCCTGGTGCAGAATAAGGGGGCACAGCCCCACTCTGGCACACACAGCCCGGGGCGCTCAGCAGGCTGCCGTGCAGGCTGCTGCTCACCTCTGTTTTAAAAAAGTACATTCTTTAATTCAGAGGAGTATGCATCTCCTCTTCATTCAGAGAACTTTTTCTAAGCATGTTCTAGCAGGACAGTGGTCACGTTCATGCTATGACAACAGATCTGTCAGTACTGCGGGCTCAGAGGCATCGTACCTGGTTGGTAGATTTCATGAGGATGTAGTTGGTGACTTTCCCAAAAGGAAGCCCCAGATTGATGACATCGTTCTCTGTGCAGCTTCCCTCAGGGAGGTTGCAGATGTGAACCACTCGACCCAGGGCAGATTTCCTCTGGGGAAACTGAAAATAAAATAAAAAAATACTATTTTACCTTAGATAATCCAGCTCCTCAGTAAGACCTTGCAGTTCTTAAAAAAGAAAAAAAAAAAAGAAAAAAAAAGTCTGTTCTGCTCTGCATAGATGTTATTAAGGGTAAATATCCTTTTTTAAAATCTGATAGTTCAACATCCTAGTTTAAACATATCCTTTCCCATCTCAGTATCTTTAACTGAGGCACAGCTTGCAAAGGAGTCTCCGTTCCTGGACTTGACAGTCAAGTCCAGATGGGATTTCTAGAAGAGAGGCTCTAGTTCCAGCAGGGTTAATGATATTTCCACAAGAAGCATCTACAGAGGTTTTCAGGAAACCAATGGCTGAATTCAGGTCCTTCTTCTGTTCTCTTCCTAAATGTAGTTTCTTTGTTTTGCTGTACTTGTTAAGAAGTGGTATGCTAAGCACAAATACAGGATTAGGCTGATTTAGCTGCTGTTCTCACAAACGCTCGGCAGTGCATTAAATCAGATCAGCATTAAGGTGTTACCACCTCTCCGCAACTGGCAATGACTTAAATTAAAATGCTGTGCTGTAAAACTGCAATAATTCACGATTAGGAAGTGAGGAGACACTCACACTACGGGAATGGATGAGCTGTACCAGGCAAAAATCTTGTCAGCTGATTGAAGCTGAACGGGATCCATTCACTAATTACAGCTGTAAATAACAGCAGGGAAAGGAATACCCACCTTCCATATCTGCCCTCAGCAAGGGAAAGGAGTTGTTGCATGTTGGGTACTGGGTGTACTTCTTAACAAGATTTCTTTGCAATCAATTTCTACTGGGGCTTTCTACTGCACTCAGGCAGCTACTGCAAAAATAATTGAACAAATTGATGCATAACGCAGAAAGGCACCTCATAGCTTGCTGTACTAATTCATCCCTATAATTTTTTGTTACCATTTCCTGCTTTCTTGCTATTTAGACCCCTTGTTCCTTTCTTGATCTTTGCATGAATCTTTTCTAAATGTAACGAGAGAGCTGACAGCCCCATGCCTGCACTGCTAATGGCCCTCGATGCCTGTGTGGAGGGTTGGAGGGCTCCATTTGCTTTTTGTAGCGAGACAGAGTTCTTTGCAAACGGATAGCAGACAGCCAGCTCTTCAGAAATCTGAATACTTTGTTTATGATACATGCAGGGTCAAGTATAATCTCTCACTGCTCAGCTAAATGGCAGCAGCTTAGCTGAAAGTGAATACTGCTGTGCAAAGGTGTAATAAATTACAAACCACCTGGGTTGCGGGGTGAGTGGCAGCTGGTAAACTCAATCTTAACACCTCTAATATGGTTCCCTGTCTCCCCTGTGAGCTTCTGAAGAAAAAGGGGATTTACAGTGCCCAGAAAAATCAAAAGCTATTAGCTCTTCTCTCTCCCATAGTACAGCAGATCATTCAGGAGGAGGCCTTCTGCTGGCAGCCTGAATGATAAATAGTGACAGATTCTAAGGAGAAACGATACTGGTATTAGCAGTAATTTCATTTGTTGCAGGCTTGACAGACACGATGAAAAGGAGCGTTCCTGCGCATCCGCCGCAAAAGCCAGGCAGCATCCCCGGAACGATGCCCTCCGTGGCTCCAGCATCAACTGTGGATTTCCAGTATAGCCTGAGCTTCAGATTAACCCTAGCATCTTCATACTGTGTGAGGGGCTCTTCTTCTTGTGAGCTCTGTTATTCTATAATCCCTCAGTGCAAACACCATTTTTAATGTTAGTTTCTGCCTGGCATTTATTGCTCCGTGGGACTGCAACGCAAGCGCACACTAGAAGGGAGGCAGCACTGTCAGAGATGGGGGCACTTCTAAACTGAAAATGGGGAGGGCTGTAAACTGAAACCCAAAGGACAGACAATGACATAGATAACACATTTGGGGGAAAAAAAATGCTAGTCCAATATAATGAAGCATCCTTAATTGAACTGGGAGTCCCAAGCAAATAATGGTTAGAGAGCTGCAGCCACTGCCTTTGCTGTTATTGCTACCAGGGAGAAAGATTCCAGCGCAAGGGAGGGCAACAGAAACAACTGCTACAAAATAAATAACTGGAGAGATGACAGGTTGCTCAGTGGGATCAATATCCTTGGGGAAGAGGAAAGGAAGTAAAACTAATCCAGACTAGTCCAGATCTTCACTTCAAGCTGAAGTTGAGCCCCCAGGTCAAAAGCTCTAAGCAAGTGAGGAATAAAACTCTGTGAGCACACGCACAGCAATCTGCCCTACTTCATCTCTCCTAACAAGCAAACAACACTCAGTATGGAAAATATCCACAGTGAAGTTCTGATATGACCCAAACCAAAAGCACAAAATGGTTGCAGCTTAATAGAAATAATTCCCTAAATGTTTACATTATTGTCTAAAAGGAAGCCTAAAACAGATGTTATTTTAATTCACATAGTCAAAAAGAGGCCTCAAAAGGATGTAAACAGGGAGACCCGTTGGTTAAGGTACTCACTCTTACCCCTGATGGAAGAGAAGAAAAGGTAGAACCTGGCTGGCCAAAGGATCTTGCTGATGTTGTGATAAAAGATGAGCCGACATTTGGTGGATAATCTAAATAATGGATTACACACAGTTCATGAAAATCTTGACTCATATTAGCCACATTCATGTGCTCAGTAGGAAACGCCCCATTTACATAAGATTTCATTTGCTAGTTTTAGTAGCAAATTATACATTGCTTTGTCATTCGAAAGAAAGATAAATTCACACTTGAAAAGGCACAATCTTGCCTTTTAGTCTCCCTGCACACATCTACTAGATGTTTATCTTGAAAGCTTTTATCACATTCTATTTAAAATGTCCTCTTTTCCCCCAAAGACTGGGTTTCCTTTTAATTAAACAAAGTATGTTTAGTTATTGCACACTCAACCATTCACCTTCGATACTAGATGGGTTGAAAACTGATGCATTATTTGGAGATAAATGCAATGTTCCATCTGCTGAACTTAATACGCACCGGATACCAGTGCTGAAAAAGAAAAAAAAAGAACTTTAGGAACATGCATTACGTGCCATATATATCAGAACCTTAATTAGCATACAATAAATCCCTAGTGTAAAACCACTGACCCAAGGATGCTCCATCAGAAATTCAGTTGAAAGATTGCCTCTAAAATAATACTTACTTGTCTGAAAAAGCCATACATTTCTGGATGTGAAGACTTCCCTTCGTGTGCTGATCCCAGTCCTGTGTTGAAACAAAGAGGGAGATATGATGGGCACAGGGAAAAAATCCTGAGACAAATTTACACGCGACTGCCTCTCTATTCAGCTTATTTTATTCTACAGCAAGTACCGGTGTGCTGGGGACCAGACTAAAAGATACTGGAGTCCAGCATACTTCACCCAACCCTTTTATAAATCCATTACTTGCAGGTTAAACTATCAGTTATTTTACAAAAAGGGAGATTTTTCTGTATAGGATGCTAAACCAATGCTTATTTCTATTAAATCAGTTAATTTATGCTGGCTGAAGTGCCTCATCCTGCAAGGCACTGAGCATCCTCACCTCCTTTAATGTCCATTAAATGCTGCTCACTCACCAGGATTGTGCCCTGTTCACCTTAATTGACATGGATAGCTGGTAAAAGAAAGGCATTTAGCTATTATTTTTTATTTTTTTATTTTTTTAGTACTTTTATGAGCCAAACGAATCAGCGAATCAGTGAATTAAAGACCAAATAAAGAATTTCAAAATGTCCACGGAACAAGAAGTCCAGCGTACTCCGAGCAGGGGGATTTCAGACCAGGACATGGTCACCACAACAGTTCTGCTCAAAGGGAAACACAGAAAAGCACAAACCCACTACAGCATCCCCCAGCTGGAAGGTGTGTACGCACAGCCCAGCTCATAAATATCCAATAAATATTCAATCTAAGATACTGGACAACAAGTATCGGGCACTGTTTTGTTTGCTGGCTTTCCTTCCTTCCTGAATAGAGGTTATTATAACGCACTTCTGTCAGGCCACTGCCATCACAGCTGGTGCTACGTGGGCTCCGTAGCTTGTGGCTTCCCTGACCAAGCTACCAAGGACCCTGCATCTTCCCCAGGGCTACTCCTACTTCCGCAGGACACCCCCATGGGACGTTTTATCAAAACGTGCGATTGGGCTGGAACGAGCCACGTCCAGGAGGCTTTGGGATTGGAACACAAGGACAGTGACAGAAGCAGATGAGCCGGCAGATGTGCAACCACAGCGCTGCCCTGGGAAGCTGGGGATCGCGTCCGAGCTCCTCCCCTGCCTGACTTGGAGTGACTGGAGCCAAGCGAGCCTGGACCTCGCGTTTCGCACACCAGCACCGTGATCTCCCGGCCATGGACAGACCCCACACATGCACATTCCCCCTCTCTCGCCCCGTCCGAGCCCGTCACCCCAACCGCCCCCGGAGCCTGCGCAAAGCCGCCCACCTTCAGATCAAAGGTCTTCTTGTCGCAGAGGGCGCAGACGTGGGGGAAGTGAAGCGGGGCGATGCCGTGCAGGTCGTTGAGCTCGTGCGGCTGCGGCGGGCGCAGCTCGGCCGCGCCGGCGCCCAGCTCCTCGGCGGGCCGTGCGCGGGAGCTGCCGAAGCTCTGCTTGCTATTGTGCCTGCTGAAGGGCGGCGCGGCAACGCCGCCGCTGAACTTTGTGTCGGGTGTCGGTTCTTCGGGGTTGTACAGCTCGTTTCTTATTTCATACTGCTGACTTGTTGATGGCCACATGCTGTCACCGGGCAGGAGGTCAGGCTTGTTTTGGCTGGCGAAATTAGGGAGGTTTTCCCACTGGTTGTTTGTACCTGTGCCATGTAAGCCGGAGGCTGGATCTCCTTTCTGATGGGAATTTGCGTGCAGGTCTCCGGGGAAAGCCAGCGCCGCGCCGTGCTGCCCCTTGGCGCCCGCGCCGTACGCGTCCTTCTGGAAGCCGGGCTGCCCCTCGTGCTTGGGCTGGCCGGCGGGGCCGAAGGGGCCCTCGTAGGGAACCGCGGCCGAGGCGGCGGCGGGATGCGGCGCGCCGGCCAGGAAGGCGCGCGGGCCGGGCTGCTCGGCGTCGGCGCCATACGCCTGCGCGCCAGGGACGCCCGCCTTGTACTCGTAGAAGCCGCCGGGCGCCGCTGAGGGGCCGGCCTTGCCCAGGCCCATGACCACGGCCGGTTGGCTGGAAGCGGGCGCCATGACGCCGCCAAAGGGGTTCATGACGAGGGCGCCGGGCGCCGGGGCCGGCACGGTGCCCACGGGCGCCGCGAGCGCCGGGCTCTGCGCCGGGAAGGCCAGCCCGCCCGAGGGGAACCTGGCGCTGGCGATGCCGGGCCCCTGCGGCGGGCCCGCGGCGTGGCCCTGCGCGGCGTTCAGCACGGAAGGGTGTCGGAGCTGGTTGAAGAGCGGCTGGGACATGGCCACTTTGGAGAGCACCTGATTGAGGACGGTGGCAGCTGCTGGGTTGTTGGTCACTGCTGTCTGGGCCAATTTTAGCCTGTGCAGAGTAAGCTGAGCCTGGAGCTGGGCGAGCTGAAGACTCGCCGGAGAAGGAAGCAGCGGGTTCGGGGCGCTGACAGAGAACGGCGTCTTCTCCAGGAGCTTGGCAGCGCTAGAGAGGACCGGAACATGGATTAGCTAAATTAACCTAATCTTAACAGCGGTCGCTTCCTCTTGGCATGACACTTCAGACATTTCTGGGGATCTGGCTTACCTGAACCCAGCAAAAGCAAGAGGGTGATTTAAAAGCAGAGCCTTAGCCTATCCCCTCTGTCTAAGCATCCATTGTCCTATCTTGGACTTATTTACCTCCTGGTAACATTTTGGTTCAAAAGGATCTCTGGAAATTCCCATATCTGGACAAAATAAAGGTATTTACATTTTCTATAAGCCAGAGGTACCTTGAGTGTTTGTGCACGCTACGAGCAGCCGTGCAGCACTGCAATGAGAGCTGGGGTACCCCGAAGAGCAGCGACGTGGTCCAAAGCTCAATTAATTTATATCGTAAAGACATATTAGGTTTCCGTTTAGGTCTTTCAAAGCAGCGGGAGCTACGCATCAACCGCCACGCAACCCTCGCTGTTCATAATTGGCCAATTTGCTAAAGTGCATGGATAAAGTTGTAGCTAATGACAAATGTCTTGTCAGCATGCTACATTTGAAAACCACAAATTAGGAAAACATCTGCTTAAATCTACAGTATGACTAAGAGAAAATGAATGGGTTTCATATTTAACGCTGAACTTTGACGAGCAACTGCGAGGCACATCTGTCTCCCAGAAAGCCACAGAAGGCGCTGCGGATAACGGTGCCATTATGCAACAAGCAGGGGTCCTGCCAGCACCGTGCTCAGCCCAGCTCCTCTCTGCACATTCCCAAGGCGAGCACCGCGGAAAGCCATCCAGGATGGCCCTCGTGCCTGGCTATTGATCTAGCGTTCGGGGGCACTTGGGGCACCCCAGCGGGAAAGGACAAGGGGTGCTCCGTCTCTCCTAAGAAAGCGGGTTGCCCACATGCCATTTCCATGAGGAAACGCCCCAACCAAACACGTTTCCGCCAACTCTGGAAGCGGATGGCTGAAGAAATCCATCAAAGACTGCCACGCTCAAAGGCAACGGCAAGCACTGGCAGAGCTGCGTCGCTATAAATCAGTTCGGCCCATCTGCCACCCCTGTAATCCTTATTATGCTTTCAGCATCCAAGTACACAGCGAGTAACACACGGCGAGGCAAAGCATCCAGGCTGCCAGATTAGTGGAGTAATCCTGTCTATGAGAGTGATGAAAAGGCTGGACACAAAACATTTCTATTAGGGCAGGCAGATAACTCCGGGGCTGAGTTTCAGCGGACAAAATTAAGGGTTTCTAATTGTTGCCACTTTCCAGAATCAGAAAATAAAAAAAAACAACTAAGAAAAATATGATCTTCGCAACTAGCTGCTAGTTATTTAGGAGGTGTGTGTGTGTATATACTCAATTATTTGAAATGCTGTACAGAGGTATGAATCTGAAAACATAAAACATAAAAAAAAGAACAGGCTAAATCAAAGTTGTGCAGTATTTGTGTTTTAGCTTTCTGCAAAATTTCCCTGTCTTCCAAGATTTTTCATTCCCACTTCACATAAAATATACTTGGCTTCACATTTGATTTTGTCTTTCTGTCCAAATCTTGGAAAAATAAATGTTTTAATATTTTTCATTCCAGAAAGTTTCAAAATATGCACTTTCTTCCAAGATACATCTATGACTCTGCCCATTTTTGAATGAAAACAGCCAGAGCTCTTGAGATCCTTAAGTATTCTGAATGTGAGACTCCTCTGCATTAGCATACTCTTCCTATTAGATTTATGATACTCTATTTATTTGCATGGTGTTTTTCATCCATTAAAACCTTTTCTAAATCAGTTTATATGGTATTGATAGAAAACTTTTAATTTTTATTTCAGGACTCCTGCGCACATCAGAGACCCATTTTCTAATTATTCAAGTTCCAAATCAATTATCTTCTGTCATGCAGAAGTGTGAACAGGCTTTCCCGGAACATATCATTTATTCCAAACACTTGGGGCCGCATTCTCTAAACTCACTCAGAGCGACTGCTGTGGTACATTTTTATGTTTTTGATTTGCTCTTTTAGTATCAATTGTATCTTATTAGATTTATTTGTACAACGGGGGAAATGTAGCCTTCAAGTAAAGAGGGACCATTTCATTGTACTCCAGTTAACTGTTTGCATGTGAGGACAGAATTTGGCCTCTTGAATTAAGGGAACCACAAATCTGTATTTCAAACATGGGTAAAAAGGCACAAAATTTAGCACTCTCAGCAATATATGCCTCTGTTAGAATAAAGTAATTATTAAAGTGGTATTTTATGCTGCACTTTTGCTGATCATGGTAAGAATAGAGGCTTCAAAATTCATTCTTGCCTGTTGAATAATACGAGCACCTAGATCAATAAGGACTATCCATCGGGATCCTCTCCTGTTTGGCTAGATCATATCTGGCTGATACTGAGTGAGTATTCTCTTTCTCTGCACCTCTACAAAAAGTATTTTCTTTGGTTTTAGTGAAATGATTTTCTGAGTCCAAAAAGCTTAGAAAGTCTGCTGAAAGGAGGAAAATACAGATTTATATTTTACATGGTTATATAAATTATAGTCTTTAAAATTTAAGCTCTGAAATCATCTGCAGAATTCCCCCCCCCCCTTTTTTTTCCCTCTCCTTCCCTGAGTTCTGGCTAGAATTGATTAAAAAAAAAAAAAAAGAAAAAAAAAAAGAGATCTACTTTCACAGTAACTTCAGCTAATGATGGGGTGCACTAAAATCCTTAAGCTACTTTAATACATTTATAAGCTGGAAGTAAAACCCTCCTTATCCCAAATAATGGTTTTTAAAGCCCTCCATTACACTACAGAGGGAGTGAAACAAAATCCCAGCCAATGTATACACACACTTTGCCAAAAAAGTTTTGCATATGTTTGGCAATGATAAACGCTATTATCTGAGCAATAATCCAACCTGAGAGTCAGCTGGGGGACGAAATGTAAAATGTTGGTGCAAAGCTGCTAGAGCTTGAGGTTTCCCAAGCTGATGAAGGAGTGAAGAGCCCCAGTCCTGTCCAGAGTCCCTTCTGCTCGTTGGAGGCTTCCAGCCAAGCTGCTCCGATGTTTATGGGCAAGTGTCGCTGTAAAGGGACAAGGCAAGGAGGCGAACACAGCATCCCTGCACGGGAGCAATCGCGGAGGATGGCGGGAGCAGCTCCCGGGGCTGGAAGCAGAACTCGGCCACTCTGACCCGTCTGTGCAATCAGCTGTGCAGACCCTCCTGAGTGGAGATTTCACACCCTCCAGGGACAACTCACTGCTCAGCTCTCCTGACTTTTGGAAAGTTGTTCCTAATGCATATTCCCCATCTCTGATAGCTAGTCGTGCAGTGTCACCTTCTCAGTGCACACCAACACTCTTGTCCTCCAGCAGCATCTACCACGTCTGCTCTAAAAGCACCCAGCTCCTTCAGTCTGTCTTTCTGCACGTTTCATGCATTGCATGTGTCCAAAGTGCCTTGTGTGGTTGTTTCTTTTCCCACAGCAGCTAAATCCTGAGGTTCACTGTTACAACAAGCCCCTTTCCCAAAGAGCTGTTGCCCACCCAAGAACAACAGAGAGGGCACCATGATCCCCGGAGGTTGTCTCCTCTGACTTCTCACAGCAAAAGTTAGCATGGTCCTTTCTCACTTTGACTGCCCAATGGATTTTTAACCACTATTTCATATTCCCTCATCAATGGTGCATCCAGGTTATTTCGGATCCAGTTCGCCAGGATTACTCTGGATTTCTCTGCTGCCTCCAAAGCATTTGTAAATCCTCGGTTCTTGGCACTATCTGCAGAGCTAACGGATGCTTCCTTCACCCAAGTTACCAATGAAGGCATCAACTAGATTTAAGGCAGTTCCCAAGACAGGCTGCATGATACGCCTTCCCATTCTTTCTCAAGACACCAACAACCCAAGAACATCTCTTCCATCACACTGGTCTCAATTTTTGAGCTGAAGAGAGAAGTGAACAATCACTTTCGTTAAAAGAAACAGCTGTCCCACTTGCAGCTGCAGGAACAAAAGGTTGCATCAGCTCTGGTGGATTTCTTACCAAGGATTCCTGTTACATAGTTTCGAGAGGTGATGTTTTGTATTATATGCTTAAAATCAACTGTGTGTTGGGGTTCCTTCATGGCAACATTTGTTTCTTTTTGGTTTACTAACAAATATTGACGCCAGTCCCATGGACGACAAATCCATTCTACAACATCAGAACAACAGAAACATGCAGCCCAATCCACAGTGGCCTTCAGGCTTCCTTTCCCTTATTGCTGAGGATACGTTTTAACCCTGGAAATGTTTCTTGCATTGCTGTTTCCAGGCTGTACACTGCGCTTATATCTGCTTTCCTTCATCTAATGCATCTCCTCATGAACACTCAGTTAGACAAAGTTTGACTCCAAGGACGTAGTCTACTGAAGGAAGACTATCATGTCTAAAACCAAGGTCATGGTGACGGTTTTCAGAGGCTGGGAAGCTGTCATTTTGCTCCGTGACATTTAACAAGTTGTGTGTTTTTGACGAGGGGCCGCAGCCGGGCGCTGTCTCCGCGGATTAAGCCCACGCAGGAACGTGCCTCACACGGCGGGTCATGCGGCGCCCGCCGCCTCGGCCCCGAGCGGCGGCCAAGGGCCCGCGACGCCTGCGGGGAGGGCGAAAGCAGGAGGAAAGGCCAGGCTGGCAGTAACGTGACCCGTCGGGGACGGCGACGGCGCAGGGACAGCGCTTGGCGCGCTGGCACCGAGCGGGACCCCTGGGCTGCTCCCGGCCGCCCTCCCTGCGGCCGCCGAGCGAGCGGCGCCCAGGGCAACTTCCACCTACCTGAGGGAAAAACCCTCCGCCTACCTGAGGGACAGACCTTACACCTACCTGAGGGACAGACCTTACACCTACCTGAGGGACAGACCTTACACCTACCTGAGGGAAAGACCTTACACCTACCTGAGGGACAAATGGGAGACTGCAGCTTTCAAAACAAAACGAAACGAAACGCGAGAACGAGGGCGGTAGCAGCACTTGTAGGCTTTCCACCCCATCACCAAGGACAAAAGCCAACCAAAAAACAAGCCTTGCCATATATCTGACTGAAGAGAAAAGGTACTGCAGTATCATCTCCCTGCACCTCCTCCTAAGCATTTCCCACATGGCACTGTTAACCATCACAAAAATAATCCATCTGTGTGTCTCAAAAGTCACGGTGCCTGGGGCACGGCCGGTTTCATTTCTGTGTTGGAGGTAAGAAGCATAACGTGATAGGCAGATAATTCCTCATTTGGAGAAGCCATGTCTCTTACTGCTTCACGGTGATATAAGACAGCCTAAAAGCACTTTTGCGAAGGTAGTATCTTCAGCCCATAGACAGGAAAAGGACATAACCGCAGCGAGGCTAAAGCGCTAGGAAGGATTGTTATTTCTAAGTAGCTTCATTTGTGTTCAGAGAAAAGATTGTCACCACCTGAGGAAAAA